CGGTTCAATTGAGTTAGCTCGTTGCAGCCCCTTTCCCGGCGTCGGTGGAACTCCGTTCGGGAAATGGTCTTCCGTCTGACAACTGCTCTCTGAGCAGGCTCTGAGCGGCGAAGTCTGTACTGCCACGGAACGAGTCTCTGGTGCGCTGGTAACTGCAACCGTCTCGGCTCTCGGTATTACGGATTGCTCCGTGTACCGAGGAGAGAGAGGTCTCCGAATTCGGATGTCGCCTTGTGTAAGAGTGTCCCTTGGTGGTCGAGTCAACCGGACGCAGAACTCTAGTGGAATCAATTTCCAAGCTAGAGACTGAGGAGGTGACGGCAAAAGTGGAGTATCCGCGGGCCGCTTGGTTGAAATGTGCGGCCGATGCTGGGACTCTGTTTCTTCTACGCGCCTTGCGAGGCAGCGTGTGAAAAACTGCGAGACTATGTGTCTCTGGTTAGATTCTGCCGAGGCAGAGTACGACTCAGTTCAAGGGCCCTCGAGAGAGCTCGCCTTGAAGCGAGTGAGTGAGGAAAGATCTGCGGAGCAGCTCTTTTATATCCCTTCGATCGAAGCTTGATCGCGAGAAAGCTCTTCACCGTCTGCGCAACCTGGCGGTGTCTCCGCAAGCTCATAACTCGTAGACGGCCTGCGGCACGTAGCGGCGCCGCGGCGTATTATACCGCGTCAGTGCATCGGTGTGGCGGTGAGCCGCCACAATAATAAAAAAGAATTTTTGAGCAAATCGATCCAGCTCTAGCTCTGTTTGGCTTTATTTTAAAACGATTTTTAATTTAATTAAGGAAGAGCAATAACTTGATATTTTTTGTAGTTTTAATTACACGCTAGCCTAATAATGCGTACGTTATCCTTTTTAAAATTTGTTCATCTATACTTCGGCAGATGTTTATGCGGTTTATTAAAGAATTGTATGAAGTTATTTGACTTGATGGTGAAAGTACGATCTCGCATTCTGTTTTTGAAAAAATGTATCCGTTATAATGTCACACCTCCGCATCTTAAATGGTCACTTACAAAACATTTACATCTATACCAAGTGAACTCATTCAAAAGGTTGACAAATATAAACAAAGATGTGACTAATAGAATTATACGCTTGGAATTAAACGACGGTTATCTCTTTTTGCAACACTTAAGAATCGATATTTACAATAATTTTAAACGTATTTCTGATTTGTTACCGATGAATTTAACTTGTGAATTTTTCACTAGTCAGGAAAGTCGTGTGTCAAGATTGTTACACCAGAAAATTAGGGATCATGATCAAAAAGTCGATTGGCTTGTTGCAGAACAGTGAAAGGAAATCTAGGATAAAATCGATTAATTATTCCTTTCACAAGAGTAAAACAGATGATCGTATCGGTGATGTTTGGTCTTTGGAAAAAACGGATAACAATAACAACGAAAATATTACCATTAACATCACACCTGATAAGTTTAAATTTACAGATGATTTTGAAATAATACACAATAATTGGTTTCTGAACATCTCTAATTTTACGATTCCAAATGATATGTATCTCTGCTTTTGCAATTGGGCGATAGATTCAATTTACCTGTAACTAACAAAAAACAGATCTCATTC